ACACACATGCCTAAAAACATATAGCTGTCAAATCCAACCTTGATGGCTAACTTGAGTGGAAATGATCGCAAACTGTTAAGACTCACGGACTGTTTTTTGAACAATCAGGTATTTCAACTATCAATTTTTATGTCTACCTGGCTACTGGCAGACAGATCTGTCATCAGTTACGACAGTAGATGGGAGATCTTCATTGTGACCATTGCACCATTCGTTTTTTTGTGATCTTAGCGATGTACTTGTTATCAGGTACATACATAGTCTGATTATCCCTAGAGAATCTAGAATTGGCTGCTAGTGGAAAATTGGGTTACAGATAAGACAGGTTTACCTCTTAAATCCTGCAATGTGCACCATTTTTATGTTACAGGATCCACTGGTACCATCCATATATTCATTTTCATATATAGCACATCAACAATGAAATACTTTTCAGCAATGTATATCATTTATAAAAACTGGGAGCAGTTAAACATATCAACAGATTATTTGCTTCCTGTTAAAAATTCAATCTGTTTGGTTGCTGTGGGTAAATGCTGCAGTCTTAGGGCCTATTCACAACAGCCACTGCGCTACATTACACAGCGGCTGGTGTGTGGTGCCTGGCAGTGCGGATCTTGTATACTTTTTTTCTAGAACAAGTGACATTTGATTAGGTTCTTTGGACACAGCATGGAACAAAGCGGTTGTACCGCGTCGCATCCTGCTGCGCTGACAAAAAAGTACTGCATGCGGCGCACACCACCGCATTGCGGCTGTGCTGGAAAAAAAATGTGTCAGCGAAGCCACAACGCATCTGGTGTGAATTCACCCAAAATCCTGCTTTTGTAAATCCGAACCATGCTACTGGGATATTTGAATTTAATAGCTGATGCAGTACAGCCTGCTACTAGAGCAGACGTGACCACAAGATTCAGAAGCTTTTTATTTTTAATCCTGTATACAATATTGCAATTTCAAATTGAATTAGGCTTTGATATGTAAAAATTGCTTTGAAATGTAAAATAATAAAAATGTTTTTATTCATTGGTCCATTATATTTTTCAATTTATAAACTCATTTCAGTAGATGTGTAAAGGTGGCCATACACTGTACAACCTTTGCAAGACCTTAGTCTTGCGATGGTTGTAAAGGGATTAAAAAAACGTACGATCTCCCTATCTTGGACGGGCAGATTGCACGCTCGATCATCGCAAGCCACGCCCCCTGAGGGGCGGGCTTGCGATGACTGTAATGAGGGGCGGGCTTACGCTGACTGCAAACGGGCAGTGTGCGCGTGCGCACACCGGCCCGTTCGGCAGTTGTCGAACCAGCAGGCCACCAACTCGCCGAGAATCGTACGATTCCCGGCGGGTTTTCAAACATGCTGGTTCGATGGAAGACGTGCGACCGTACAGTAGAAACGGTCGCACGCCTTCCATACACTGCACGATTCTCGTACGATCGCGGGATTTCCCGTGATTCTCGTACGAGAATCGTGCAGTGTATGGGCACCTTAACACACACAACAAAACAGGACGCCCTCTCTTTGTGCACTACGTTTATTAAAAGATTTATTTATATAGCACCGACAATTTACGTAGTGCTGTACATAGTTGCACATTCACATCAGTCCCTGCCCTCAAGGAGCTTGCAATCTAAGGTCCCTATCTCACATGCAAACATAGAGATTTCGACAGGAGCCAATTACCTTCCAGCATATCTTTGGAGTGTGGGGGTAAACCTGCACATGCACAGGGAGGACATGCAAACTTCACGCAGATAGTGTCCTTGTGTGGATTCAGTGACTCTCAGTGCTGCAAGGCAGAAGGGATAACCACTACTCCACTGTGCCACCCAAAATCATATCTACAGATGGATACTCACAATCTGTATTAGATAAAAAAAAAAAAAAGGCATGCATCATCTAAGCCCCCCGAATGTATTCTGCAATGTGTACACAGACCTCCCCTTTACATCTCAATGTAATTCAAACAATCCAGCTAACATGCTTCTGGGGCCAAGCGCCCTTTATCAGAGTCTATCAGAATGACCTGGTATCAGGGCATAAGACCAACTCATCCTCAATTATCAGCTAAGCCAGTGGTGGCGAACCTTGGCACTCCAGCTGTGCCAAAACTACAAATCCCAACATGCATCTGCCTCTGGGAGTTATGTCTGTGGCTGTCAGAGCTTTGCAATGCCTCATGGGACTTGTAGTTCCAAAACAGCTGGAGTGCCAAGGTTCGCCAGCACTGAGCTAAGCACTGTTGTGTTACAGAACACACCCTCACATGAGTAGTCACCAGCTCCATTTTAAAGGGCTAGTTCACATTTTCACAATCACCAATGCCTGCCCCCCACACCAGCCAGTATAACAGTCCCGATATTTGAAAACTTCACTACACAGTGGCGACTGGTCAGTGTGGCCATGTGTCCATACTTGACAATGAGAATCTCTTCCGAGCCTTCTTTCTTCTGGTACAGGAGCAGTAGAGGCAGGTAGGTAATTACTATGTGTCCTTACTATGCTGGTGGGGTAGCATTCACATATAGACCAACTCCATCCACAAAGTCATGCCCAATGGGAAGCACATCCAGCGTGGTCCCTGCAGTAGGAGAGTGTGTTACAATGAGACATGGCTTTCTAACTTCTAGCTCCATCAGCATACACCCACCATCCCTACCCCTTTTCTCCAGGCTTCTGTTGCAGCTTACACAAGCACGGTAATCTCTGGCAGCTCACACTACCAACCCCCTCACCCCTGCCCAACCTGTTACTGGTAAGAAGGACTGCATGTTTTGTTGCAGCCGACCGCTCCTGCCAGAGGCTTTACTCACCACGGTGCCTGCAACCACCCCCTTTCTCACCACCATGCCCGAAACCTCCTCACCAGTGTCTTCATGCCAACCCACCCAGCGCTCTAACCACACCTCACTCCCACCACTGCCCCTGACCCCAAATTCTGCCCCCCCGCTTTCACCACCTCTCCCACATCTCTGCACTCGCTGCCACTGCAGTGACACGCTCTTCAGCTTTTCAATAAATGAGCGCTCTTTTGCTGGTATATAGTAACAAAATTAAAGGGTATGTAAAATATTTTATTAGTTTTTATTAGGAAAGGGTTAGATCCATTTCCATTTTTTTTATTGCCAGACACCACATCAGGATCACGTCCAAAAAGATTATGTAGGTCCCATGTCAAAAAATGAAAGCTCTTTATGGGGGTGGCCTGCGACTGTTTTTCATTGTACCAGCTTCCTGTGGGAGGCAGTGTGGCCCGACTGCATCTGAATTCCTGTGTCCCTCAGAGCACTCGAAGCTATAGATTTTTTACAGCGAGTACAAACATCTTATATTAGCCTATAATATTGGTGGACCAATGAAAGTATCGCAGGCGTGGATCGGTGCAGAGGCCGCCCCCCCCCCGTTCAGGACTCATTCCTATAAAACGGACCAATGAAAGTATCCCAACAGAAAATCAGTGTGGACAGACCAGTGACCTTCATTTGCTCAGCTATACGCTGGGTGAGCACGCTGTAAATCAGTCTCTAGGTCTCTTCTGTAATAAAGGATTTGTACCTGCCTGTTTGCAATCTTCTAGACATGATACCCAGAGCTGTGCATCTGTGGGAGTTACATCATCCCAACACAGCCAATCTAGATGGCCAAAGATCCCAAGGCCAAACACCGGTGAGGGAACTTGCAGATGTCACATCATGGGAGGGAAGTGTACAGTATGTTGGCTGGATCCTTAAAGTCCAATTCTGGGCACAAGACAAAAAGAGACCCTTGCAGTGCCCCCTCCCCCCTCTGCATTGTATGTGGGGGAGGCAAATGTTTGACTGTGGCCAAGAGCGCCTAAGCTTAAAGTAGTATTAAGGTCTTGGCGTTTTTTACCTTAATGCATTCTCTGCATTACGGTAAAAACGGCCCAGCACCTTTTTTCTACGCCAGTCCCCCCCCACACTTACCTGTCAGCTGCGCTCATCCACGCTGCTGGTCCCGAAGCAATCCTCCGTTCCCCGAACTTCCAGAGTGGGAGGATACTGATGGCAGAGGAGCCATAGACTCCTTCTGCCAAAGAGGGAAGGGGCGTGGCCTGCCACAGGGCTGTGTGTGTCTCTGGAGGCACACAGCCACTGTGGAATTGAGCGCCTCCATTAGAACTAAGGTGGCACCCATGCAGGGGGGGAAGAGCGCTGCGGGGAGCCACTAGAAAACGAGGAATTAGAAACTTTTAAAGAAAAAAAAAAAAAGCAACAGCCTCCAGCAAAGGAGAAGTAAAAAAAAAAAAATAGGCTTTAATATCACTTTAAGTTCAATTCAATTCCCGGAAACACGTCCCGGGACCACAGGATCGAGCACAATTGCACACAGTGATTGCAGCGCAAATGTAACCCCATTGAAATTGGTGGGGCCGCACGGCAATCGCTTAAAAAAAAGGTACAAGTACCTTTTTTAGCGACACATGACGCACAGCTTTTTTAGCTGTTCAACTGCACAGGCGGTATCGCGGCGGGAAACTAATGGCACCCCAGCGCAACTGGGGTGCCATTAGAAAATAATGGCAGCGCCAGCGAGATCAGCAATGGTGGCCAATTTTGTGACCGCGTGGTTTTCTGCACGATTGCCACGCAGTCCAGGATCGCCCAGGTGTGAACCTAGCCTTAGAGAAGGATGCAGTCGCAAAGATAGAGGAAGCCTGCTGGACCTTACCCCTCTACCACTAGACTTACCAAGCATTTAACACTTGCAGGGTGTGTGTGGGGAGGGAGGCTTCACATTCATTTCAAGAAGAGGAGGGAACTATCTTAAGCCTTCCCCTGATTAACTTGGAGGCTGCAGGCAGAACTTCAATATGAACTCCCATCTCTCCTTACTTCGTCCTTTACCCACCACAGCAGCTCTCTACCATCCCGCTAAGTTCGCTTTATGGAAGCGGCCCGTAGCGTGTGACGTCACGACGCGCCAGCGCGGCACAGCCATGGTAACCTGGACGTGGGTGCGCTTCCGGAAGTGTAGAGCAGTACGCCGTGCTTCCCCCAAGACGCCGCTTCCGGTCGGAGAAGGTGGCCCTCTCCGCCGGGATGTACCCGTGACCGGTACCAGCCTGCCGCTTCTTTCAGCCCCGAGCCATTTCGCCTGGTCCCCGGTGTGCAGCCTCAGAGCCCCGACTATGTTGTGAGGAGGAGGAGCAGGGAGCCGGCGCCGTCTTCTCTCCCCGTTCTTTTAGCGAGGCCTGTGGATTCCTCTGCTTTGTTTTTATAGGTTTCTCCGTGCTCCCCGGTGACGGCACCCCTTTTCCCGTTCCACCCCCAACCCGTTCCTCCCCGCCGCCCCGGAGACATGGCCTCCTCCTCCGGGAACGATGACGACCTCACCATCCCCCGGGCTGCCATCAACAAGATGATTAAAGAGACTCTGCCCAGCGTGCGGGTGGCCAATGATGCCCGGGAGCTGGTGGTGAATTGCTGCACCGAGTTCATCCACCTCATCTCCTCGGAGGCCAATGAGATCTGCAACAAGTCTGAGAAGAAGACCATCTCCCCGGAGCATGTCATCCAGGGTGAGTGCGGATAGGGGATTCCTCCACTGAGTGGTGGGAGGTCATAGGTGTCTCCAATAAAGCCAACCTCTCATGTGCAGGTCCTGTCCAGCAATGGGAGGATCTGAGGAGGGCTTTGCCTAAACCCCTTATTGCTGGGCAAATCTCAAGAGCTCAGTATCCAGTGCTCCCTAAAAAATGACAGGTGGCACATATCTTTTAAGGTTTTCTGTAATTGTTGTCAATGAAGCTGGCTTCTAAAAATATGCTGCTGGATTGGGGATACTGTCTCCTAAATTCCATATTCATTTGCCCACCCCTGCCCCAATGCTTTCCAGTGAGAAGAGTGACACAGTGACAGCAGAATTATTAGAGAGACAGTGACTGCCATATTTGCCTCATATATTATAGAGACAATGACTTCCAGATCTGCACCGTATATTAGAGAGACAGTGACTGCCAGATCTGCACCGTATATTAGAGGGACCGTGACTGCCAGATCTGCACTGTATATTAGAGAGACAGTGACTGCCAGATGTGCACCGTATATTAGAGAGACAGTGACTGCCAGATGTGCACCGTATATTAGAGGGACAGTGACTGCCAGATGTGCACCGTATATTAGAGGGACAGTGACTGCCAGATGTGCACCGTATATTAGAGGGACAGTGACTGCCAGATGTGCACCGTATATTAGAGGGACAGTGACTGCCAGATGTGCACCGTATATTAGAGAGACAGTGACTGCCAGATGTGCACCGTATATTAGAGAGAGAGTGACTGCCAGATCTGCACCGTATATTAGAGAGACAGTGACTGCCAGATCTGCACCGTATATTAGAGAGACAGTGACTGCCAGATCTGCACCGTATATTAGAGAGACCGTGACTGCCAGATCTGCACCGTATATTAGAGAGACAGTGACTGCCAGATCTGCACCGTATATTAGAGGGACAGTGACTGCCAGATCTGCATCAGAATTCCCACTACTGACACTGATGTAAAGCATCTCGCACTGAAGCATGCTGGTGGCTTTCATAGCAGTTTGATAGAATCAGACCATCTTCATATACTTGCATTCTATGTAAGTGTCTGGAGAATTCACCAGGCTGTTGGTAAATAATCAGTCCCTCTTTCTTCTCGCTCTCTCGATACATTCTATGGTTAAAGATGCATACTTGTTTTTCAAATAATTTACCATGGTCACGTATAATACAACGCATACAGTGAGCATCACCATATGTAGACGGATGCCTGCATTCCATAGAACTACGTTATTTCAAACATGTCACCAGCATTAAAGCTCCTACGCAGTTGAGAAAATCTGAGACCGCTGTAAAGAGTTTTAGTCCTGTTGCCATGTTTCACATAAAGATGTTTTTCAGTGTTTCCATTGAGTGCAGCCATCCTTCTACATTTTCTGATTGATCCTTTCTGTGGACGGTTCAAATTTGGGACATATTTGGCTGATGTGTGGACAGACTTTATCAATGGTTCTTTGAGTCCTATGTTAACCATTCGCATATCTGCTTTAAGACCCCATTCACGCTTTTTCAGTGCTGATTTGAGCTGAGCGACATTGAGCTACAGTGCACATTTTGTCGCACTACATAGCGCTTTTTTTGGCAGTCTATCAAAGCCTATTAGGGCCAAATCGCACAAAATCAGCTGGAAGAATAGGTCATGTTCGAGCGACAAGCTTGAGCTACAGGCAACATTGAGCTGTGAGATGTGAACAGCTCCATTGGATGAGCTACATTGAGCGATTTGTTTTTAGCAGAAGTCGCGGTACAAATCGCTCACTTTTGAATGGGGTCTAAAGTGCATCTGTACTAGTTATATCATGACCAGGCTATCTAGTACCAGAAGCACCCCCACTTCTAGGGATAGGGGAATCAAGGGGCCCCACGTTACAGTGCTCCGTGCATCAGGCCTAAGTACTGTCACCTGAGGGGGGTGTGATAAGTCTATGCAAACACTGACTTTCAGAGAGTCATTCATTTCATAGGAACTCCTGCAGGCTATAGTGACCTGAGCATGATGATTTTCTTAAAGCTGACCTTTACCCCCTTTGTCTGAAAATCACATCAGTATGCAGCACTGCACTGCATGAAATCATCTTACATTCATTAGCTAAACAAAAATATAGTCTCAGCTGTAATCTCAGGAGATTTCAGGGAGAAGCATTTTCCTGCCCTGAGGTGACGGGTATGGTCACATGTCCTAGTCACATGTGCCAGAGTTCCAGGAAGTAAAGAAAGATCTAGTAACCTGCCCTTAGTTAAAATGGCCGCTGTTAGAAGAGTGGGGAATAAGAGAAAAATAAGGTATGCAACGAATACAAAGCTGTTAGTTATCTAGAAGTATGTGTTGGTAGATTGTCATTTCCTAAGGTATGTTTGTTATTTTTAAAGATATGGGTGAAGTTCCTCTTTATCGCTAAGGGCCTGTCCACACTATTGCACAAGCCCATCTGCTTAAATGCTTCCTTTTAGTAGACCGGCTAGTGCTTTGTGGCAGCTCCGGCAGAGTGCGTTGTATCGCAGACTTCCAGACCTGTCGCTTATCACACCTTTTTTTAATTTTTTTGTGGCGTTGACTCCATTCAGGTCCCTGCACAGCAGTGACCTGCAGTGGAATCCAGTGCACTGTGAAAAAATACAGCAGTCTCCATTTCATTGCAACATACCACCCATCACACCCACGTTGTGGTATGAATGGACACCGAGTAAAATTTGTTTTCTATGTGTTCTTGTGGTGACCTGCGTTGAACCGGTGTTGTAAAACGCAGGTCACCACAGTATGTGTGAATCGGCCCTTAAGGTAAGGTCTGGCATGTTATGGTAATTACCTTTTTAAACAGCAAACATGTATTATTGTAGCTAAATACATACATACATACATACATACATACGCACACACACACGACAGTGGAGCCCAACGAGCAGCTTGCCGGCCGTTGTAATTACACGGCCGGCCGGGAGTGTTACAGTCAAGCGATTGGGCGTCTATAGAGACACTCGATCGCTTGTATAAGAGCAGCTGTCACTGCCGGTCCCGAGATCCACTGTGCCCGATGCGGCCGGGACCGGCACGGCTGTGTGACAGGAGATAAAAGGGAGTTCAGTATACAAACTCCCGTTGATCTCCTCTCAGTCCCCGAATGCAGGAAGTGGTGTTTATTACATCACTTCCTGCATTCAGTGTCACTCTCCAGCTACAGAAGCTGATGAAGCCGATCTCTGCTTCATCAGCTTCTCTCGGGGTCCCTAGGTGACAGGGGTCTTGGAGACCCCTGATGTCTCCATAAAGAGGACCTGTCATGTAAATTGGCTATCCATAAAGAGGACCTGTCATGTAAATTGGCTATTGACCCCCATGTAATAGCAATAAAGTTGTGTGTAATACAAAAATTAAAGATTCATAAAAAAAATAAGCATACATTTATTTTTTTTTAAACAACTTTTTTTAAAGTCCCCGCCCCCCACATACACACGCAGATATGCGTCGGGTGCGTCTACGTGCAAAACCGATGATTGCGCCTATTGTGCCGCACATGTTACATATCGCCACAAACGTCGGAGTGAGCGCAATAATTTTAGAGCCATTAAGACCGGGTTCACACCTGGGCGTTTTACAGTGCTGATCGACGCACTGTACTCTCTCATTGCAAGTCAGGTACTAAGTAGGGTTGCTGAATACACTACCAGCAGAGGAAAACCTCACACATCTGCATATGAAACACACTAATAAAAAGCAAGCCTGTAAAAGTCACAATAAACCTTACTATTGGTTAATTATTAAACATGGTCAAAACAAGTGCTCGCTCTGGTTTCCTTTTCAGATGCCATTTCCAATTGGTTTCTCCAGATTGATCTTAGCATGTCATTTAATGGGCTAGCCAATGTTAATACCTGATACCTTGCCTGCTTAGAAGCTGCTGATATTGATGTACTCTGCCAATAACATGTATGAAAATGTAAACTGTTCATTTTCCTGCTTGTGTTGATGGCTAACTCAGAGCAGGCCTGTCTGCACATCACTCAGCAGGTGGCAGTCTGCCCATTACATTCCCTTGAGACCCGCTGATAAGTTCCACTTTATAGAGCCAGCTGAATATCACAGTTTTGTGGCTGTATAAATCATAAGCCTGCTGACAGCTCGATAAAGTAACTGCATTGTCCTTGGGCATCGAAGAGTCAAATGTTGAGTATTTAACGGCCAGTTTTCTTTGTATGTGTTTAATTAATACTGGGAAACACTAAGGCCTAATTCACACGAGAAACGGGCGGCCCGTATAGATCCATGCTGCGTGCACGGCCGTATCGGGCCGCTCCCGGGAAGGACAAGTGCTGCGTGTGATTGGTTGCAGCAGCCTGTCCTTCTCTATGAGAGTATGCGGCCGTACGCCACCCTACGCTCACCCAAGCTGCACGTCCGTGCGGGTGTGCATACTCGTATGCATCATAAAGATGGGCAGTGCATATCGGAGCAATGCCGTGATGGGAGCTAACTTCATTTACCACAATGGCTAACCTGTGTAAATGGGTTGCCTTGTGTTAAAACCTTTTAGTCATTTGAGTCATATGATAATTCAGAAACTGAATGATGTAAATGTTTATTCTCGGGAAACCAATGCAGCAGTTTCAGAAGTTTTGGTAGATTGTGAAAGTTTTCACTAGTGAAAATCTGTCTGGTTTCGATCTCTGCGTTTAGCAAGGGAAACTCTTTTTTGTATTTTCACTATCTGTTCTGTGTTTGTTTAACACACTAGTAGCTATGATTAACACTTTAAATACTGGTAGGCGGTCTGACCTATTCTGCATACTGTTACATTTGTTACAATTACCCTTCTGCAAATCCTAATGGGAAACTTTATGACCTTTTATTACTTTATTATTATTATTGACCTTTATGACCTTTTTATTATTACTTATGACCCAGAAAAGGAGAGACTTTGTTGACATTTATCATTGTAGCCTATTGTGACCTGTAGACATCTTTTGATCATCTTTTTTCTT